GGATTGCTTTGAGGGATTGTTAATCGCTGGCGGTCACATGAATAATTTTACATCTTTTTTCCTCAGAAGCATCTTTCATGCTATTAAACTCTGAGAACTCCAGTTAAGGAGAGGTGAGATTCAGTGCTGGGGGGGAGAAGGGACTTGTCTGCACCTCCCGTGCCGGGGAGGGACGGAGGGAGGAGAGAGAGACGGCCACACCAAGAAACGGGCACAGTCACGGGTGAGCTGTGAGTCAGGGCGTGGCCGGTACAGTTCTTCCAGCTCCTCTGAGTATCTGGACGTGGTCACGGGGGCGGGGGGGAGTGGGGTGGGGGGTTCATGCACATCCTCGCACAGCCCCAAGAGGAGATGAAAATCCCCTGAGCCTCTCCCTGGTGCCAGCTGTTAGGTGTTTGGTTTTGCTTTTCCAGTTGGCGCAATGGCCACCTTCTGCACAAACCTCTGTCCAGATCTCTGGTTATTTCCTCAGGGCAGGTTCCTGAGAACTCACTCCCTCGCTCACCGAGGAGAGGAACAGTGTGGCTGGAGGAAGGGGTCTACTACCTGGAAAACTTTTTGCTTTCTGAGTCATTACTTATTCCCAAAATATGTAAATTTAATCCTAAAATGGTTGCTACTCGGAGGGTCTCAGGAGCCCGTGCTTAGACCCTCTGCAGGTGACGCGCGCTGGGGCCGGCCTGTCCCCGGTCTTCTCTGCAGGGGCTCCACATGCTGAGGATCACACTCTGGTTGGGGGATCTGGGCCGGGGCTCGCGTTAGACGGTCACCTGGGTGGGCGTGGCTCCTCCTTGGGGGAGTCCGAGGGGAGGGTCTCGATGTTGGAGGTCTCCCGGTCCCGCAGAATCATGTCCTTGACATCCCCCTCCTTGGAGAGTGGGGTCAGCTGGGTCTTGGAGGTGGAAACATCCATATCCTTGCCGCTCACAGGGCTGCTGCCACCTTCCTTTTTTGCCGGGGAGCTGGAAGGAGAGGGTGGAGCCCCAGGGCTCAGGCCTGGGGAGGGGGGCGTCCCCCACGCTGACCGAGTGCCCTTCCTCTGCCGTCGCATGCGGAGCCCCGTCCCACCCAGCTCCGATCTTGATCCTATGCCCGGGGCAAGGACAGAGTATGACCCTAAGCCACACAGATGGGGAGACGGAAGGAACCCACCCTGGAGCAGTCTGGGCAGGAGGCCCCGGGCCCTGGGGGTGGGCCACAGCTCTCAGGGCCACCCCCTGACCCGAGGCCTCTCTGGGAAGGACCCGCAGAGCCTCCTCAGGCGGGCTGCCTGGGGGCCAGTCCAGGACCTGCTCTCCGCCCACACCGGTGCCGCCCAGCCAGGACACGGCTGCCGCCCTCTGTGTGCTGGTGCCGGTCCTCCGCCCAGAGAGGCCCACGTGGGCAGGGCCTGTGCTGACAGGAGCTGCCCCTGCTCGTTCCTCCTCTTTGTTTTCTTGCAACATCGGCTTTGGGGGAGGGGAGGAAGCCTCGTCTACCTGCAACTGCACCGATTACCGGGCAGCAGAGCGGGGTTGCGGGGAGGGGGCGACTCTGCAGTCAGTGTTGGGCCACACCCTTTCACGAGTGATCGTACCAGTAACGAGGGGCGGCATTCACTCACTCATCCTCACAGCAACTCCAACGACAGCCATGCTGTTATTATTATTACTATTCCACTTTATTCTTTTTTTTAAAGGTATATTTTATTGATTTTTTATAGAGAGGAAGGGACAGAGAGTTAGAAACATCGATAAGAGAGAAACATCGATCAGCTGCCTCCTGCACACCCCCCACTGGGGATGTGCCCGCAACCCAGGTACATGCCCTTGACTGGAATCGAACCTGGGACCCTTTAGTCCGCAGGCCGACGCTCTATCCACCGAGCCAAACCGGGTAGGGCCCACTTTATTCTTAAAACAATTTTATTTATTGATTTGAGAGAGTGGGGGAGAGAGGGAGAGAGGGAGAGAAGGAGAGAGGGAGAGAGGGAGAGAGAAAAAGAAAAAACCCCATCGATGTGTCTCCCACTCATTCACACATTCATTGGCTGATTCTTGGCTGTGCCCTGACCAGGGATGGCACCTGCAACCTTGGCGTATCAGCGATGCTGTAACCCAGCAGGGCTTGTTGTTCCCGTTTCAGAGATGGGAAAGCGAGGCACAGAGAGGCTCACACTGACACAAGGGGAGTGGCCCCGGGGATGAGAAAGGTGGGGAGTGAGGAGGTGAGTGGGTGCAGCCATCCCCTCCAGAACCTGCGCTCCTGCCTGCCTCTCCACAGCACACGTGGGGCTGAATGAGTGAACCCTGACGCCCTCCCCACCTTGCACCCACAGAGGAGTCTGGCCTGAGTGGGGAATGGGGTTTTGGGTGGTGTGAGTGCATCAGCTGGTCACAGAGGACTCTGTGGGGCAGTGGGGTTTGACATGAAGTAGCAGAGGGCAAATGCCAGCCCAGCGTCTCGCCTGAACTCTGCTAGACTCAGCGGAAGTGTGACCTTGGAAGTGTGACCTCCCGGGACCTCCGTTTCCTCATCTGTGACATGGAGGCACTAGCTCCCAGCTCGTGGGGCTGCTGTGCGGTGAGGGGACCACAGATGTTGCTCGTATTGGCAGCAGTGACACGCACCGTGGCCACAGAGTAGCGAGACCAGAGGGAGGGGGGACAGGTAGCGTCCGCCGCCGCCAGCCCGGGAGGGCCAGGTGCGAGGGCAGGGCAGCAGGGCAGTCACTCACCTGAGCTGCTCTTTCAATGTCCTCCTGGACTTGGTTTTCTTCCCAGGTTTGCTAGAGTAAGAGGCAACCCCAAGTCCAAAGCCTTGTCCGTCAGACTCACCCACCAGGTGGCCGTCAGCATCCATCAGCCCTGCCTGCAGACAGGCCAGCGCGGGGGCAAAGGTCAGGCTACGGGTTTGTTCCGGCCTTTCGGGGGCACAGGTGTGCGTGGGCTGAAGGCTCGGGTGGGCACGTGCAGCCCACAGCAGGCGGCGGCTGCCAGCTTCAGGCCGCCCCCAGCATGCCTGTCTCCTCCCCACGGCCCCCTCTGGCGTTTGGTCCCGAGCCCCGGGATCCTCAGGCCTCTCCCAGCCCAGCTGCAGGAACTGTCCTGTTCACCATTCGCTTTGTCTCCCGTTCTGGAGGCCCCTGCGAGCCACACGAGGCTGACCTGGCCTCGGTCACCCCACGCTCGTCCTGCTGACCCCATCTGTTCCCACCCCCCCATGGGCTTCCAGGCAGGACACCTGCTGCCCCTGGAAAGGTCTTGGGAGAGAGAAACCGGACGCGAGCGCGTACCTTCTGGACAGCAGAAATGGCCGCAAAGTCGTTCTTGTCTATGAGGGTGTACTTGCGGCGCAAAGCGGCTTCCACCTCCTGCTCCTGTTGGCTGGGGAGAGAGTGAGAAAGGGCGGGTGCGTCCTGCGGGCAGAGGTTCGGGTGCGGCCCCGCGGGAAGGAGCCGGGCCCTCACCGTCAGCCAGACCTGACAGAGCAGCTCACCTGTGCCTGGTCCCCAGGGTGCACCCACGGCCACGCCCCCACCCGCAGAGGGTGCACTCGCCCAGGAGAGGCAGGGGGTGCACTTGGAGGCGGAGTCACACCCCCCCACCCCACCCCCGTGAAGGAGTCGGTGGGCAGGGGGCCCCTTACGTCAGAACCACCCGGAACTGGTTGAACACCTCCTGGATCTGTCTGAGGTTGATTATCTGGAGAGGAGAGAGCGAGGCAGGGCTCGGCCTTGGCCCCGGGGCCCAGGCTGTGTCTGTCCGCGCAGAAGCCAGGACTGGGCTGACCGGGGACCATCTGCCTCGAGAGCAGGACGTCTGCAAACGGCCTCTCAGCACGGGGGCGGCTCAGCCCGTGGAGGACAGGGGCACCCGGTCGCTCGTTTCCAAGCCAAGTGTTTTCTGAGCTACAGACACCCGTTTCTAAGTGAATCTCCACAAAACCAGATCGGCTCTAGTTTGAAAATACTCAGGAAGGTCGTTCTATGAAGCGTGCTGTCCTCAGCTCCCCCACTTCCTCGAGGCCCCATTCTGCGCCTTCCTGTGGGTGCAGACACGCCCACACCTGTGGCTGGAGGAGGCCGCCTCCCTCTGGGCCCTGACCCACAAGCAGTGCCCTTGACCGGGGTCGGTCTGGGGCTGCCCTGGCCGGAGAGTCGGGTCTGCAGGCAGCTCCCGTGAAGAGCTGGCCGCCTGGGCTGCGGGAAC